GGTTTGGTGGTTTGGGGTTTAAGGGTTGAGGCTTTAGGGTTTAAGGGTTTAGAAACACCTGATTCCGCCGCAGTGAGGGTTACGGATCAAGGGGCCGTAGTGGGGGTGTAGGGTTTTGGATTTAGGGTTTAGGATCTCCTCGCATTTACACAACTTGTTCCACAAGGATCTCCTTGGGCACTTAGATGGTGGGATGTGGGTTTTAAGATGCCCCTAGGTTCTGAACATGTGCGGGCATCACCAAGGGGTGGGATCTCCTTCAGTGCAGTAAAATGGCAAGCGGGGGGAGGTGGTAGGGTTGATGATACAAATCCTGCACTACCCATACTAAGGAATGCATCATAATTCCCATAGTTTAGGGTCCTTAAGGTAATGCAGGATATATATCATCAACAGTGGGGTGGGTTTGGGGCGTTGTTTTTGTTTTTGGGTGGCGGTTTCTTAAGATTAACAGGGGCGCTGGGGTTGTATAAGGGCTCCATAACGGCTTTGTCCGGGCATGTCGATGCTTGTGTAGTGGGCTTGCGATTCGAAACCCTAAACCCTAAGCCCTAAATCCTAAACCCTAAACCCTAAAAGGCCATTGTGAAGAAGGCTTCTGGTTCATGGCATCACGAGCTTTGAGTGCCTTTAAATCAGGGCGCAAGCGCGTTTCAAACTCACCAGGGTGTACAAGTGGTTTCCTGGTGTTTCTGACGGGCTTTTTTCGTTAAGGCTTCTACAAAAACCCGAAACCCTAAACGCTAAACCCTAAACCGTGGTTCCCCAGTCTCAGTTACAGGAGTCAGGTTTGAGGGTCACAAAAGGAGTGTAGGGTTTGGGGCTTTGGGGGCTCTGGTTTCGGGCTGCGGGTTCGAGAACTGATTTCTAACGTCTTTTATGGTTTAGGGTTATAGGGTCTGAGGTTTAGGGCTTGGAGTTTAGGGTTTCGGGTTTAGGGTTTAGAGTTTAGGGGTTTAGGGCTTAGGGTTGTTTAGGGTTTAGGGTTTAGGGCTTGGGGTTAAGGGGTTTAGGGCTTAGGGTTCTGCGTTTAGGGTTGAGGACTTAGGGCATGCTGCGCAAAAAGTTCACTCGCACTGGGCTTTCTGAGCTAGGCGAGCAACCTGGGCAAAACAAGAGGTACTTGATGTCACTTGTAAAACGCTCATGGAGGGGCCTTAACAATCAGAATAGGGTTGTACAGTTTTTGGGACATGTTGTACGCAAGCTATCTATATCAACGAACCCTAAGAAATACTCATGGTAGTTAGTAAGGTTTCTATAGCATGAAACATACGCACTTGTCTAGGTTTCTACAGTATGCCCCGAGCCATACACTTCCGAATCCCCGCACCTGAATCTTTCCGTGGTACTGTCACTTTGATGGCAGTGGGCTTAGGGTTTAGGGTTTAGGGCTTTGGGTTTAGGGTTTAGGGCTTAGGACTTAGGGTTTAGGGTTGAGGGCTTAGGGTTTAGGACTTTGGGCTTAGGGTTTAGGGTGAGGGATTTAAGGTTTAGGGTGAGGGATTTAAGGTTAAGGGTCTGCTAGCATCGGCTATGCTCTTTCTGCTTCTGGACCTACACTCTGAAGGGCTGCATTTTCTCTGATAGGCCCTAAACCGTATTCCAGCTCTGCAACTGACAGGCCTGGTCGGAGACAAGCTGAACACCTACACAAGACCTAGTGTTGGTAAGGTTTTGCAGGCATCGAACCCTAAACCCTAAACCCTAAAGGTTGCGACTTTTGTTCTGGGGCAGCGGGGTTTCACGACAGCATGTCAAGTGGCGGAATATTGAAAACTATTTTTAGTCCAGAAGCCTCCATGGCCCTGCCGGCTCCGGTGTAGGGTTTAGGGTTTAGGTAGGTCCGTTGGTCATTGGGTGGGGTCTGGCCAAGGTACTCCTGCTTGGGAGAGGTTCTGCATGAGTATGCTATTGACTCCACTCATGCTTCTGCACTGGATGGCTGACCAATTCTGGCTTCACCATACATGTCTGTAGACTTATCGGCTTGCTTCCTCATTCTGGAGCATTGCGCTGAACCTTGTGCATCAAGCTGCATCTGCTTATGAATTCAGAAGAAACCCTTTCATTACTTCAATTAAGTCCAAAGCTCCAAACCCTACTAAGCTTCAAGCCCCGAAGCCCAAACCCCAATATAACCCTACACCCACAACCCAAAACCCAAAGCTTTAAACCAACCTGAAACCCTAAAACCCTAAAGTGCCAAGCCAAGCTTCCGCCTGATCGTTGAGGAACGGCTTACACCAGGAGCAGAGGGCCATGACGATACCAGAGATGATAGGATACCTTTGGGGTTTAGGACTTTGGGGTTGTGGGCTTGTGGGTTTCGTTGAAGGGTTTGGGTTTTTTGGGGTTTGGGGTTTGGGGTTTGAGCTTGGGGCTTGAGCTTTGTGTGATTCTTTGATCTCTCTTGACCTATGCGAATACTATGAACAAAATGCGCGTGATTCAAACACGTAAGATAGTCACCTGGCGAGTAAAGACGTTCCCATAAAGGGACCCGTGTAGAACCCATTATAGAACCTGAAACCCGGTTTGAAAACTTTATACAACCCTGATAGTACCCTTATAGTACCTCCAATAGATTAAACAGAACCCCTGAAGAACCGAAAACCTTTATATAACCCTGATTGTACCCCTCATAGTACCCCCAATAGTAGATTATATAGAACCCCTTAAGAACTTTAAACCTTTATATAACCCTGATTGTAGCCTTGTAGTACCCCCAATAGGAGATTATATAGAACCCTTAAGAACTTTAAACCTTTATACAACCCTGATTGTACCCTATAGTACCCCCCAATAATAGATTATATAGAACCCCTTTGAGAACTGTAAACCCTTACAGGACCCTGAAAGCACCCAAAACCTCTCTTAAGGGCCCTAAAGCCTAAACCCTAAACCCTAAACCCTAAACCCTAAACATCCCTTAAGGGCTATTTCTCGTGGAGGATTCGTCTTGGAGCCGGGGGTCTATTGCCCCTGGTAGCAAATAGAGGGTTTAAGGTTTAGGGTTTAGGGGTTTAGGGTTTAGGGGTTTAGGGTTTAGGGTTTAGGGTTTAGGGTTTAGGGTTTAGGGGCACCCAAAACTTGCGCGCAAGCATTGCACTGAGGCTTGGGGCTTTAGGGCTTAAAGGCTTCGAGCTTGCAAGAAAGGCCTTAGAGTTTATGCGTCTGGTGCTTAGGGTTTATTTCTTTCGGGTCGAGGGCTTCAGGGTTATGGGCCTTGCGTTTCGTGGCCTGAACGCCGACAGGCCCCTACTGTGCCAATTGGGTTCTAGGCTTTAGGATTAACGCGGAGCAGAGAGGGTCTACAAGGAACCTTTCCCTGTTTGTTGGCAGACTTGATGTTTTGGAGAAGCTGAAAGTTGCTACTAGGATTCTCCGGTACCCGGTTGCTCCAATAGTAACACCCAGCAAAGAACAGCAAGCGAATCAAACGACCCACACCGCCTAAACCCTAAACCTTAAACCCAACTTGAAGCCTAAATATCAAGCCCACAACCCTGCAGACGCGAAGCCCTGCAAACCCTGCACCGCATAACTTTCAACTGCTAAACCCCCCAAAAATCTTCTCCAAAACTCCTAAACCCCTAAGCCTTAAACCCTCAATCCCTTATACGAAGCCTAGAGGCCCCTTAAGGAACTCTTCAAGGAACCCTGGAACCCCTATAAGCCCTCAGCCCACACGAACAGGCCAGGCACAGAAGAAGCTTTGCCTTGTCATCCTGGGCTTAGTGATTGGTAGTTTAGGGTATTGAAATATTTAGGTACTTGAACAAGTTTGGGTTTCAGGGTTTAGGATTTTACTCAGGGTTTAGGGCTGTGGGGCTTTAGGGTATTAGGGCTTGTTGGTTTTAGGGCTTAGGGTTTGCTGCAGGTCTTTAGGGGTTTGAGGTCGCTATCCACGCAGCCCTAGCTCCCAAATGTCACATGTTTAGGCAATTCAAGCGGCACGGATTCGACAAGAGACCTTCTCTTGAGACTCCTAGGACACTCGCTGATGTTATCAATACTGTTGCTGCTCGCTACCATGTGCCATGAAGGGCATGATGATGCTCCCTTCAATGCATCGAGATTACTTCAAAACTGCTGTGCGTAGCATGGCAGTGCCATCTAGTCAGGATAACATGAGCAGATTTCCTCAACCCTAAACCCTAAACCCCCAAACCCTAAACCTTAAACCCCAAAGCCCATGAGCCGCATCGCTCGTCCTGAACCCTTTGCAAAGAAACACTTGCGACATCCTTCCTGCCGTGCGTTCTACCTATAGTCTCCATTGTAGTTCCTTTTTGGCGATACCTTATAAACTCGTTAATATATATTTGGTTAAACCAAAAAAAGGAACTACAATGGAGACTATAGGTACTTGTGTACGAGGCCGAATCTTGATAGGACTCCACTGCTACGCTTGGTGATCGCTGAACTATGCCGCAAATGCTTGAGACGACGTTAAACCCTAAACGATAGACTCCAAACTCTAAACCCTAGACCCTAAAACCCCCAAGAAAGACCCTAAAACCTAAACCTCAAGCCAACTTCAAAAAAGAAAAGAGCCCGAAGTCCCAAGGCCTTAAACACTCCTTTAGCTCTTGGGTTCCCTTCACGAGATATCCTACCAATTGGAACCGTGAGAGCTCCCAGGAACTCTGAAACCTCGGCCGGTGTTCGAAAACTCTACGGCTTTAGGGTTTATGGGGTTTAGGGCTTATAGGGTTTAGGGTTTAGGATTTAGGGCTTATAGGACTTAGGGCTTATAGGGTTTAGGGTATAGGGTCGGTTTAGGGCTCATAGGGTTTAGGGTTTAGGGGTTCCAGACTTGGGGAGGGCTGCTTCAAGGTTCAGAGTACAGGATCTGGGGTTGGTCTAGGATTCGGCCCTAACCCCCCCAGGTACCTACTATATAGGGTACCAGAGCCCCTAGGGCCATATATAGTAGGTACCAGAGCCCCTAGGGCCATATATAGTAGGTACCTGGGGGGTTAGGGCAGGGCTTGGTGTTCAAAGTCCAGGATTTGGGATCCGGGCTTAGGCTCCAGGGTTCAGAGTTTGGCTTCGGGTTAAGAAAGGGGCCTTAATAATTACCTATACTATTTTGGGGGTTCCTTGTTATAAAACATAGTAGAATATTCCCCAACACCCTATTCCTATATTACCAGCTTTTGGGGGGGTTGGTTGCTCACATGACGACGATTGCCATCGGTGCATGACATGCCTTAATGTCGGATGGGGGTACCTTACCTGGAGCGATACGTTAGCAACCCTAATGCTAGGAAGTTCAGGGTTTAGAACAAGCATCGTCCGCCACCGAGGTGTAGGTCAGCAGAAGCATGATCTGCAGAGCAGCGTGGAGGACACAAAAGATTAGGTAAAAGGTCGACACACTTCAGAAAGTACTTATCGAGGACTTCAGGGTCAAGGGGCGGAGTAGGGGCAAAAGGTGCTGCAAAACTAGATTATTCAGAACAAGCCTCGTCGATACCTGCCTATCAAGCCACCCGATCTTCCCCTAAGGGTCCAAGTGCCTAACAATCATATACTCTCCCAAATATTAACCTAGATAACTACTATCCGCAACCAAAGTACCCTATGATGGGGTCCTTTGGACCCTTAAGGTATAGACTCCTACCATCCTCTAAAATCCCCAAAATAAACCGACGATCTGTTCTCCTCCAAGGCTTCGAAATCCAGGCGTCGGCCATCAAAGGCTGGCCAACGCTGAACCGGCATGGCAAGCTCCTGAGCTTCGGGGTTTGGCTCTTGGGCTTCGGGGTTCAGGGTTTAGGGATTATAGTACTTATCGTCTATTCTAGAATACTATGAGAGTACACTCTAGTAGATGTATCATAGGTTTGCTTCGGGGGGCTAGGGACAGGGTTTCGCTGATTGAGCGCTTAGGTCCTGAACGCAAGGCTTAGGATTCGGCACTGCAGGCCCTGGTACGGTTGATGATATTAATCCTGCACCCAGAATAAGGAATATACCATAATTCCCATAGTTTTTGATCGATAATGCAGGATTTAAATCATCAACCGTAGGAAGGTTAAGGGATGAGCATCTTGAAGTTCAGGATGTCGGGTGTCGGCTTTGCATTGTGAGCCCCCACAGATTTAGGGCAAACACGGTGTTCAAGCATGAAGCTTAAGGTTCGTGTGGCAAGCTCCCGCAGACTGGCTTTAAGTAGGGATTTCAAGCGTAGGGCTTCGGGCTGGGAGGGAGCATGTTATCCAGGCCTGTGAGTTTGAGTTTTTCTGTCTTAAGAGTCTACACATTTGGGGGTTTTTGAAAATAGGGGAACCTAATATTGTACCCTAAATAGTAGGCTCCTTATTATAAGGACCCCAAAATAAGGTACCCTAATGTTCGGAAACTCGCATTTGGGATTTAGGGGGTTTGGGATGTGAGCTAAGCTAGAGTCTTGCATGCTTGAAGAGGTCCTACACTCCTGGGCATACCAGCAAAGGCTACATAGCTGTGTATTGGAACACTGCAGCTCCATGTCTTGGAGGCTTTAACAGTCACCCCTCCAAACGAACACCCAAACCACTCAATACCCTGAAGCCCTAAACTCCAGCCCAGAAACCCTCCATCCTAAGCCAAACCCTGAACCCTAGACCCCTGAACCCCTCTACCCAAACCCCTCAACCGGAGAAGTCTTATTGTAAACCTTGGAGCCCTACATCATCCCTAAACCCTAAACCCTAAACCGGGTCCTGAAATTGCTTTTCCATAAAGCCCCATCTGTCTGGCCTCAATCGGATTGGGAGATCTGGATGTTGGCGTTGGCTTTGCGGGTAGGTGTTTGGGTGTGTGGGTTTACGGGTCTAGGAAGTTTAGGGCTTGCATGGTTTACTAAACATTAAGTCTTGTATTCTACACTAATTATATAATATATGTTATAGTAATATTATATATATATATATGTATGTATAAGTTCTGAGGTTAGGGCTTCAGGTTCAGAAAGCCGCGTGGGGAATTCGGGCAGCGGCAGCTGCGGCTTCCGGCTCTTCGCCTTTTTGCTCCGGCCCCCCCTACGGGTCCATGTACCCCCTTTAGGGTTTAGGGTTTAGGGTTTAGGGTTTAGGGCCCCGTACTGTATACTTTGGTTTTTCTACTCCCAAGAAATCGGGGCCGTCACGGCCTCGGCTTGCCGCTCGGGGGGCCGTGCCGACCGCTGTCGAACTGCTTTCTGAAGCCGGTTTTGGGGTTTAGGGTTTAGGGTTCAATAAGGAAACCCCAAACTAAAAAGGGCAAGGGGTACTACTCGGGAACCTAGGAAAGGAACATGCTTGCAGGGATCTTCCCTCCCAAAATCGTCCGCCTATCTAGTCCAAACCGTGGCCCGCCACCCCGAACCAAAAGCTCGATTGAAGGCCTGGGTAAGCAAGTCCCCTCAGCCTATGTTCGTATCCAATCTGGACATAAAGCCAGCGGCCCCTCGTCAACAGAGAACAAGTCCCGCTGAAAGCTTTCACGGATTTGAAAGGTTTATCCGGGCCCTTGAGGCATACCTCCTTCTGCTAGTCACCCTACATTCTTAATGAAGGTACACAATTAAACATCAAGCGATTGTCCCAGCAAAAGAATGGGCTCTACTCAAATCTTGTAGGTGTAGGCTTGTAGGTTCAGGGCTTTGGGGTTCGCCATTTAGCACGTGGTGCTTTGATATTAACCAAGGCTCCAGACCTGTTGGGGCTTGAGTTTAGGGCTTCAAGGATTGTGACACCTCCAAAACTGGCCGGACGTGAAAATGACTCCAACACTAAACCAGCTGGAACAGCGACGGGCCTGTCGTCCAAGTTGATGCAATAGATCTGCGAGAAACCTTGCTTTGCAAAACAGTGTCTTTGAGCTGTTTTGGTTTAGGCATTGCACGGGACTTGCCTGGGTAAGCCGACGACATTCGGTTTACTGAGCAAATTCGAGAGGCCGGGCCAGCGTCTTCTTGTGCTCCCGGAACAACCTACCCTACATGCCCAGTTACATACCTGTAAAGTAACTTACTGCGTTATGGGTTTTATGAGGTTTATAATTAGCGGGGGTTTACATTGTAGCGTTTAAGCGACCACTATATTGGTAACTGGGCTCCCATAGAGTACCCGAAAACTGTTGGTGTGCAATGCCGCTCGAGTGCCCAGGGTGGATGTGCAAAAGTGCAGGGGAGTACTCGGACCTGAGACGCAGTGTACGGGCAAAACAAATATATCCACAGCTATGGCATAACTACGAAGTTCTCCGATCCTCCAGGTAAAGGCTTAGGGTCTAGGGTTTACAACGGTTTGGGCCTACGGCAAGGCCAGACCACCGCCAGGCAGCCTAAAGCCCAGCCCTACCCGTAGTCATACTGTTGCTGATATCTCTGGGGATTCTGGTATATTCCTGATTATGGGTACTGCAGGACGTATATCATCAACCGTAGTCCGCCCCGGTCTCAAGTCCCCACTCCTAAACTCAGACCGCCACGGCCCCATTAAGGAGGAACAACGGCATAGGACCCAAATCAAACAGCAGCAGCATCTAAAGCAATGTAGCCCTAGGGGCTCATTTATTGGCTGGTGTAGGGTTGGAGCATAATGTAGGGGCCTTAATTATCAGAACAGGGTTTTGGGGGCTCCTTATTATAAGTATGGTCTAATATACCTCCAAGCCCTATTCTAATTATTAAGGCCCCTATGAAAGGGTGTAGACCGCAGAATCCTTGGCATTTACACCCCCGAACCCAGATCCTTTAAAAAACCTGAAAACCAAAACCGACTACAAGGGCCCTGAAACCCTTGTGAAACTCTTATACCCTCTACAATGCTCTACAACCGTCTACTTCGAACCCCTCATTAAGCCCCTAGACCCTACAACCCTAAACCCTAAATCCTAAACCCTACACCCTAAAACCCTAAACCCTAAAGCCTACAACTCTAAACCCTACACCCTAATTGAGCCACTACACCCTAAAACCCTAAACCCTACAACCTAGAACCCTAGACCCTGCTCCCTAGCTGCTACCTTCGGGCCGAGGAGCAACTCCATGGGCGCCCAGCAGCGCTACGCAGCGGACTCCTGACTTCTACTTAAACAGGCTCAGAGGACTTCGTAAGTATAACAAGTACGTTTAGCGTTTAGGGTTCAGGGGTTCAGGGGTGTAGGGTTTAGGGGTTTAGGGTTTAGTGGTTGATGGTTTATAGAGTTGAGTTTCAAGTACGGTGGTATTTAATTGGGATTGCTCTGCTTCGGGCACTTGTAACCTCGGCTATATCCCCACTTACTAAGTCCATTCAGCCCTCAAGTGCAAGGTCTCTCCATGGAGGGTAAGAGGAAAGCAAAAATTGAGGGCTTAAGGACTTCAGGGATCTAATGGTCTGAGGTTTGATGGTTTGTAAACATTTAGGGGCTGAATTTCAGGGCTCTTCTAAGGTTTTAGGATTTATCAAAGGGTTCAGGTCCGGAGTGTTGATCCAGCTTTGTGCAGGGTTTGGCTGTCGCCTGGCACTTCGAAATATGTCCAGAAACACTGTTTTTTGGGGTAGCTTGCTTTGCAACTCTGCTTCACTGGTACTTTTCGGTCCAGAGCCTCCCACGCAGTTTGGTCAACAACCACCGAAACTTATTCGGATCCCGAAACCGGAAGACGGACCAAAACATAAGCATCAGGGTTCAGGGTTTAGGGTTTAGGACCTTTGAAAGTAGGACGCTTAGACTAAGGCTTTTGAACCATAAACCCTCTCGGGGTTCATGTCAAGGAACTGCCTATGTTTTGGCCACATTGGGGCCTTCCGACACCGTTACTTAGCAAGTCGGTAATGAGTAGAGTTATAAGCGTCCTAAGTATGATCCTACTGGGGAATTGCATTTACCCTAAGGGTCCAAGTACCGAATATTCATATACTCTCCCGAATATTAACCTAGATAACTACCATCCGCAACGGAAGTACCTTATTACTGGGTCCTTTGGACCCTTAGGGTTATAAGTCACTATAACCTAGCCACTTACTGAGTTCCCGTCCCTCCGAGTGAATCGTAAACATCCTTCAAGCCGGACCCTCAACTGCGAGGTCCTCCGAGGATTGCGCAATCTGGCGGAGGGGGGTCGGAGCCTGCATTCCCAAAGGGTCCAAGTACCATTATACTAGGTGCTTAGCAGGTATTTTGGGCCCCAAAAGTATATACTATACTATTACTTGGACCCTTTGGCATTGCGATTTCATTTACGGTTTAGGGTTTCAGCGGTTGGGGTTTTAGGAGTCTCAGGTGTTTTGATAACCCTTATACTTGATTTACGGTTTGAGGCTTCAGCGTTCAGAGTTTCAGGTGTTTCAAGTATGTTAGGATTTAGGGGCCTGCATTCCGGCTAGTTTAGGCTCGCCATATGTCATCGGGCGGTCGGGCTTCAGAAACTTTAGCAGAAAAATGTCAAGGAGGCTCCGACTGTTAAGGGTTTCCGATGAAAGGAAGCCGATTGCTGAAGCCATCTGGTGGATTCTTACATTCGGCAGCAGCCTGAACCGTGGTCGCGGCAACGACCACGACCACAACAACAACAACAACAA